ATAGAAATGGAAAGTTCAGCTAATATTTTCTTCCAGCAAAATGATAAATGGCATCTCCAGAATGGCCTAGGGAAGACAAGTGCAAATGCTACACAGAATCATATTAACCCAACCAGCAAGGACAGGGGATCGTGGGATTATGGGGTTTGCTAAACAGGGAAGAGGATATTTATAGATATCAGGGTTCTGCCTGAAAGGTACATCTTAAGCTGATTTAAGAGGCTGGATGAAAGACAGAATAAGTGTATTCTATGCTCCTATCTGTTGTGCCATACTTTATTTTAAATGTCAAATGAAGAAACAACATTAGAAGTTAAATTTATGATGGAGCTGAGTTGCACAGTACAAATACAACAAAATTAATTTTTAAAATATATTTTTGGCTCAAATAGCCATTCATGTCAATTACCATTAACATCCACATTGTGCCTCAAGCACTACAGTGAGCAAAACAGGGATGATCTTTATGTAGGATTAACCTTCCTATGACATTAAATAAAACTAATAAGAAACAAGAACTTCAGCTAATGGTATGTATGTGTTATCAGCATRTGTGTATGTAAGTTCTCTGCACTCTGGTGGACAAAAGTGATCTGACTCACCCACAAAACATTTAAACAAACTTTTCTGCCAGTAAATCATAAATAGATGTGCTACTGACGACAGACATTTTATCTGCTTCAAAATCAGCTTAAACTCAACTCCTGGCATAGGCTTGGCATACTGACCTCAATGATACAAATTAGGTCATTGAAAGAAACCAGAGTGGTGGAGGGGGAGAGGAATTTTTTGGTATATGAAAATATATGGGGGCTGGGTTTGAGACTCAGTGGTAAAGAATTTGCCTAGCACATGTGAGGCACTGGGTTTGATCCTCAGCACCATACAAAAATAAATAAATAAAAGTATTGTTGTTCATATATATATATATATAATATATCTCTCCAGAATGGCCTAGGGAAGACAAGGGCAAATGCTATACAGAATCATATTAACCCAACCAGCAAAGACATACATATATGTGTGTGTGTGAATATATAGTTGTAAGGAGAGGCTAAAATTTAAATATATTAAAACTACTAAGTAAAGTGTCAAATAATACACTCCCCATAACTAGCTTAAATGGAACTGTCTGTCATTTCTTTTTACTTCTTTAAATCTTTAAACAGAACTATTGCCAGGTACAGTGGCAAATACCTGTAATCCTAACTATTTGGGGGCTGAGGCAGGAGGATTCTAAGTTGGAGGCTAGCCTCAGAAACTTAGCAAGACCCTGTCGCAAAGTAAAAAAATGAAAAGGGCTGAGCATGGAGCTTATGGTAAAGAGCCCCTGAATTCAATCCCTAGTACCAGAAAACAAATAAATAAAAAACATTGTGGGCTTTAGAGTTTCAGACCATATTCAGCTTCCCTGTGTGAGTAACTGTGGGCACAATTCCATCCAGAAAATGGGAACAATACTTACACCTCAAGAAAAATATTACAAGGACTAAATAACAGATGTAAAGCATGATGCATAGCAGTCATTCAAAACAATAAAACAATGTGGGGCTGGGGATGTGGCTCAAGTGGTAACACGCTCGCCTGGCATGCGCGGGGTGCTGGATTCGATCCTCAGCACCTCATAAAAATAAAATAAAATGTTGTATCCACCGAAAAACTAAAAAATAAATATTAAAAAATTCTCTCTTTAAAAAAAACACAATTTGTGTGTGTGTGTGTATATATATATATATATATGTATGTATATATATATATATATTTTTTTAAACTATATAAATTTTGTGTGGTGCTGGGGATGGTATGGCCATCCACATACTGAGCATTGCTCTACCACTGAGCCCCAGCCCCCACATTTTTGTAATCCAGGAGAGGTCTATCACTGGGCTAGGTCCCCAACTCATTTTATTTTGAGACAGGGTCTCACTAAGTTGCCCAGGTTAGCCCTGAGCCTGTGATCCCCCTGTAAGTAGCTGGGTTTCCAGGTGTGTGTCACTGTGTTGGTGTATTATTTACGGACCATTTTCTGACCAGAAAACATGAATACAGTTGGGAACAATTGTCAAGTGTTGAACATGCCTGGTCACTACCATATGTAGAAAGTATGCGTGTAAAAAGTACTTCATAAATAATTACTGAATTTAGTTATATATTAAATAACAGTTGTTAATTATGTGCCATAATTAGCCATCTTAGTATTTCATCAAGAACGTGGTGTCAGGGTTTTGGTGGTACAAGTCTGTAATCCAGTGGCTGAGACAGGAGGACCACAAATTTGAGGCTAGTCTGGGTAATTTTGCAAGACCCTGTCTCAAAGGCTAGGAATGTATCTCAGTGTAGAGCACCCTTGGGTTCAATCCCTAGTACCACAAAAAAGAAAAAAAAAAAAAAAGAACTTGGTGTCATAAGGCAGGGGTAAAACAGCTGACCCTAAATGTTCAGAGAAATTCATAATAATTTTTTGTTGCCCTAATTCAAATAAAAAATATATTAGTCATAGCTGAAGTTTTTAAAACAAAGAAACAAAAGCCTAGTGCTCACTCTTCAATTGTACAGTTAATAATAGGGGCTCATGGATACGACTTGACACACTTTATCATACCACTGACCATTTAAATTCAGTGTTACACTTCCATTTCTTTTTTTTTAACATTTATTTTTTAGTTGTAGGTGGACACAATATCTTTATTTCATTTGTATGTGGTGCTGAGGATCAAACCCAGTGCCTCGAGTGTGCTAGGTGAGCACTCTACCACTGAGCAAGCCACAACCCCAGCCCTCCACTTCCATTTCTAACAATAGCTCACATTTTTGGATGGGGGGAAAATGTTTTAGAAAACAGATAAAGAACCCAGAATAATTTGCCCTAATTTCTTTCTTTAAAAAAAAAAAAAAACATTTTTAGTTGTAGATGCACACACAATACCTTTATTTCATATATTTTTTAAATGTTTATGTGGTGCTGAGGATTGAACCCAGTGCCTCATATGTGCTAGGCAAGCTCTCTACCACTGAGCTACTGCCCCAGTCCTGTCCTAATTTCTTATTGTTCATTTTAAGGAAAAAAAAAATCTGTTTTGATCATTAAAAAAATCACATACAACAATTGTATATAACAGTGTTACATATACACTGTCATTTTGGTGTACACAGTGCCAGTTTGCACCTGGAAACATGAGCAGTGGTTAATTTATTGAGGCCTATAATTATAAATTAAGCAATCATGAAATTATACAGTTCACTTAATTGATAAACAAAACTGGGTAAAGTTAGCCAACTCTCATGTTTCTCATCTATAATGACAAATCTCATTCTCTGATGACTTTGCATGCCTTTTTTCATTTCAATTTTAGTTATTTTCTATGTAAATATTTATGTTTGCACTCATTTGTTGGGATAAACTTAGCCTTTAAATGGACAGCTCATGTATAAACGATTAATAGAAAGAAAACACTTGTCAAAATTAACTCCTTGGAGTAAATCTGACCAATGACATGCATTTTTCTCTGCTGGACATCTAGATTTTCATTCACAAATCAACAGAAGTTATTCCCCATTTTAAAAAGTCATAAGAAGGGACTACAGGATAGGATAAGGCAATAACTATAACTGGCTCTTTGCAGTTGGTAAGTCAACCTACCTGCTTTAAAATCATATTTTTCTTTCACTAGCTCTAAAAGGACTCAATTTCATTTTTGCCCTTTCTACTTAACTGCACAAAAGTCAATAAGAAACTGAGTGTCAATGGTCAAATCAGTCACATATTGTGATTTACAATGAGAAAGTTTAATTTTAGCTGACAGAGAAAAGGTTCGTCCCATTTAGTTTAGCGACCCCAAACTGGGATTAAGACCTTTGATCCTGGTGAGGTCAAATGCAAAAGGGGATTGCAACAGGTTTCAAAGGAAATGCTAAGAACTAGGCAGCTAATTCGCCTCTACCAACACGGACTAAGCATAGAATGAAAAATGGGTCATCAACAACCAGACCTTGCAGAACTCTCAGCAAATAAATAATTCGGGTCTGCAGACATTGAGACGTCGTAAAAATCTACCAAGCATCCTTTCCAAGAGACACCTCTTTGTGTCCAGGGACTTAATCCCTCCCCACCTCATCCAGCAACCCGCGCAACGCAAGGAAGAGGAGAGCTAGGCTACTCTCTCCCTTGATGCCGCCGGGGAGATCTCAAAGACCGTAGCGGGCCCTTCTCCCCGCTTCTGGCTGGGCCCCATGTGGACCCCATTATCCTGCGGCGCGGGGAGGCCAATTCCCCGGAAGATCTAAGCCTGCGTGAGGAGACAGCTCTTCGCAGTTCTCGGACCCATCTTCAGCCCTATCCCCAGACTAATGATGGAGCTCAGGTCATCCACGCACTCGGCCAGCCCCTTCCCCTAGCCTAGGACCCATCGCAAACCCCGCCTTCCTCCCCAGACCCAGGCCTCCCTCCAGGGCCCACCCTCGGGGCTCCCCGCCGCCCCCGAAACCAATCCAGAACCCAGACCACAGGCTGAGCGCCATCCCATTCCCTCCTCGGATTTAAACGCAGTGCCCCGCCCTGGATCTGGGGACGGGAGGGAGGCGACCCGCCGGCTCTCGAGGGGCTCAGGCCCCTACACTCACCATCCTCCCGCCGAGTCCCTCCTCCTCCTCCTCCGCCTCCTCCTCCTCCTCCTGCCTCCCCCGTTACCAGGGGCAACTGCTGCGGCACCGCCCCCGACGTCCCTCGCACGCACAGCGGAGGAGAAAAGCAGCGGTATGGGGCGGGGTCCAACTTCGCTTTCTCCAAAGTGCGCAAGCGCGCCGAAGTGCCCGCTCACTGCGCAGGCGGGCGGTGGTGCTGCTGAAGGCTAAGTCTGGCAGGCTGAGACCCGTGGAAGAAGAAAACTCGCCCACGTGGCTGGCGGGAGTCTCCCGGCCTGTGATTGGTCACGAAGGGGGACGTAGGGGCGGGAGAGGGGGAGGTTCCCTGACCCTGCCAAAGCAGTGGTTCAGGCCAGAGTTCCAACGTGTGCTACATCTGGTGGCACTAGTCTTGGTGCATCACTCCTGGGAGCAGGTAAGGGGCCATGAGAGGAGGCCACCGGCCATATCTACCTCCAGAGTCCCCATCCCGGGGAGGGAGCTTGAGTCCGTTCTGTCTGCCAGGGAGGGTTGCCGAATTCGCAGGCTGGACTTCCAATTGCCGAGACCACGAGGTGTGAGGAGTGGCCTGTGAACTCTTCTCCTCTGATCCCGTTGCTTTCTTGTGCCAGGGCGAGGGGGTGGGGGGGTGTATGGATTGCGCACCCATCTCCTTAGCCCTTTGTCAGAGTCTGGGCTCGAGGAGTTCTGTTTGGGGAGAAGTCACCTGTAGGAGGGCGAGAGACAGACCGGGGACTGGCTCTGAATCTTGAGGTGAGAGCTGACAGCTGAAGTTAAAGGTGTTTTGGGGGGGCCCACTGGATTTTATTAAGCTACCTTGGATCGGAAGTGCTGCCTCCCACTCCTTTTACCTGCAGAGGATCCTGTGGTAAGTATGCTATGTTGCCTAGGCTGGTCTTGAACTCATGGRTTTAAGTGCCTGAGCCTCCAGTAGCTGTAACTGCAGGCATGTGTCACCATGGCTTTTGTGTTTTGTTTTGTTTTGCAGTACTGGAGATTGAGCCCGAGTGCTCTACCACCAAGCTACATTCCCCAATCCTTTTTATTTATTTATTTATTTATTTAAACTTAGAAATAGGGTCTTGAACTTGTGATGCTCCAGTCTCAGCTTCCAAAATATCTGGGATTACATGCGTATGCCACTGCACTTGGTTTCATTTTGGTGTTTTTTTTTTTTTTTTTTTTTTTTTAATACTAGAAACGGAACCCAGGAGCACTTAATCACTGAGTGACATCCTCAGCCCTTTTTATTTTTTGAGACAGGGTCTCATTAAATTGCTAAGGGTCTTGCTCAGTTGCTGAGGCTAGCTTTGAACTTGTGATCCTCCTGCCTCGCCGCGGCCTCCTGAGTTGCTGGGATTTCAGGCATGCACCACCATGCCCCGCTTCATTTTTTTTTTAAAGAGAAAACAAAATAGGCTGTAGTGGATAGAGGACCTGTTTAGTGACTTAGAGTTACTTAGAGCCTTGTGACCTCAGGGAAGAAAGGCCCATCTATTGTTAGACTCTGAGGACTGGATCTGTTGTTCCTCTATATTTGCTACAAGTGTGCAGTGCAGGGCCATGTGTGCCCCAGATGCCCACCATGCTGGTGGAGTGTGAACCTATCTAGGTTTCAGTAAACTAAGATCTTGGATTCCTAATGTCTTTGAGATGTGACACTCTCAAATCCTAGGAGGTAGCCGTCAATCACCTTTTTGATTTCCCCTTTCCACCTTGTCCTCATAGTGAAACCATAATCCTTCAGAAGGCCACCATGGACATGATGGTGACCTTTCTAGGGAGGACTAGGTATGGCTTGGGAGGGAGGAAGGAGAGTTACTATAGACAAAATGTAGAAACCAGATGACTCAATATGGGAAGGGGGCAGATAATTCGTAGCTTCATTAAAGAAAGTCTGAAGCCGGGGGTGGGGGCACATATCTATGCAATGTGGGAGCTGAGTGAGGCAGGATGATCCCAAGTTCAAGACCAGCCTTAGCAACTTAGCGAGCAACTGAGTTTCCTGTCTCAAAAAATAAGTGGTATTTATACACAATGGAATATTACTCATCCATAAAGAAGAATGAAATTATGGCATTTGCTGGTAAATGGATGGAATTGGAGGCTATCATGTTAAGTAAAATAAGCTAGTCCCCAAAAGCCTAATGTTCTCTCTGATAGACAGACACTGACTCACAACAGGCAGGCAGGTAGGGGAGGGAGGAGATGGGAATGGGAAAGACAGTAGAATGAATTGGACATAACTTTCCTATGTTCATATATGGATGCRTGTGCCACTGCACACTGATAACTCCACGTCATGTWCAACCACAAGAATGGGAAGTTAAACCCTAYTTACAGATATGTCAAAATATTGCCATATATGACTAAAAGCAACAAATAATTTTTTTAAAKTAAATAAAAATAAAAAATAAGAGGGGGCTGGGGTTGTGGCTCAGTGGTAGAGCCTTACACGTGAGGTACTGGGTTCGATCCTCAGCACCACATTAAAACCAATAAAAATAAAGATATTGTTTCTATCTACAACTAAAACAATATTTATAAAATAAAAAAATAGTAGGGCTGGGCATGTTGTTCAGTGGTTAAGCACTCCTGGGTTCAATTCCTGGTACCAAAAAAAAAAAAAAGTCTGTTTTTTAAAAAAGTCTGTTTTTTAAAAAACAGCTTGCTCTTATTTCTGTAACCAGGGCAGGTTCTGAGTTTGACTTAAAAGAGGTAACATCCTCTATGCCAAGAGAACCCAAGAATAAGCTGGAATGCATTTCAGATAGGGAATATATATTTTTAGAGGGTATATGAGAGATACAGCAGTGAACATTATAGACTTGGTCCCAATGCTTATGTCTGGGAATTCATATAAAGAACTGTAAATGACAAGAAGGTGACAATTACAGAAGCCCATCATTCTGCAAGGAATGTTGTTCTAGACTGACAATTTAGGGTATTTTTTGGGGGGGTGGGTAGGAGGGTCTTATAGTTTATATAAAACAGGGTTTGGCTAGGCATGGTGGTGCATGCCTATAATTCCAGTACCTCAGGAGGCTGAGGCAGGAGGATCACAAGGTTGAGGCCAGTGACACCCTCAGAAGAAAGAAAAAATAAGGGCTGGGGTGTAGCTCAGTGGTAGGGCACCCTTGGGTTCAATTCCCAGAACCACAAAAATGAAAAACCAGGCTCTGTATAGTTTCTATGCTGACCTCAGTTAAGCAGGTGAAGTTCTTTCGTAATTTAGCAGATGATTACCCCATCAGGGTGCCTCTGTTAGGAGAGGCAGAGGACTTTGCAATGTTGAGTTGAGGGTGGAGAGAGATGTCATAGAAGTTCAGCCGTGTGTGTGTGTGTGTGTGTGTGTGTGTGTGTGTGTGTGTGTGTTGAGGGGGTAGGCATAGGGTTTGGCTCGTCAGGCTGTCTCCAGTGAGTGTGAGTCTGGGCTTCTCTAAACCAAGGGGGTTTGTGATCTTCTGGCCACCAAACTTCTTTGAGTTTCTTGTAGCATCTGGGAAGTGAACCCTTTCCCTGCCTCACTCCAGTTGGTCTGTGAACCAGTCAGTAGGAGCCCAAATGGAGCTGGAAAGGTGGACATGGCCAGTGGACACTTGCTTCTGCCTTCTGTAGAGATAGCCACTTCAGTCACAGCTCAGGGTGAGGCAAGGGCACTGTGCATACTGCACGGTGGGCCTCCACACCAAACCTTTCCTTCCTCTTAGGAATGATGGCTCCTAGCATATCAGTTTCCTGAAGTCTCTCCCACCCTAACAGTAATCTAAAAATTACTTCCTTTCCCCTCCCTGTTGGTTTCTCCCATCTCCTCTCTCTCCTGTCTCTCAGGTCTTCCTTTTCTTGACTTGCCTCTTAAATTTAGTGGTTTTCAGGACTTGTAGGGGTTGGGAAGGCTGAGGCAGGAGGATCGCGAGTTCAAAGCCAGCCTCAGCAAAAGTGAAAATACAAAATAGGGCTGGGGATGTAGTTCACTGGTTAAGTGTTCCTGAGTTCAATCCCCGGTATTSCCCCACCCCCAAGAAAAGGGAGGTTATCAGATGGAAACCCTTTAAGGAAGGGCTAGACCTCCAAGGTCCAAAACGCTGAGGTTCTGTGTTCTCCTTTCCAGTTTTGACCCCTGACTGGCACAGCATTCCTCCTATACCCAATTGCTTAGTAAATCATAAGACTCTGCTTTAAAAGGTTCTCTCCTTTTGGTCTCTCTGGGTGCATTTGGGTTCGTTTGAACCTTATCTCTTCTTGGCTGGAGTATTAGGATTCCCTTCTGGCTGGCCTCCCTGCTTCCTGCAAGGTCCTTCCACACCCATCTATTTTCATATGATTGCCCAGAGAGTTCCCTTCCCTTCCCTTCTTTTCTTTACATACTGGGAATTGAACTCAGGAATGCTTATTTTGAGACTGGGACTCCCTAAGTTGCCGAGGCTGGCTACGTACTTGCCATCGTCCTGCCTCATTGGGATTACAGGTGTGCACCACCATGCCTAACCCAAAGTGTTCGTTTGGGCTGGGGATGTGGCTCAAGCGGTAGCGCGCTCGCCTGGCATGCGTGCGGCCCGGGTTCGATCCTCAGCACCACATACCAACAAAGATGTTGTGTCCGCCGAGAACTAAAAAATAAAAAATATTA